GTTGTATTGATGTATAGCAACTTGAAATGCTCCCAAAAATGGCACTACAGCATGTAAAAATATAATATAAGCCTGTAAGGCCTGTCTCATAGGCTCTGCTTTAATTCATCCAAATTCATTTGTCCTTGCTTTGTGCACTGGTCATGTTGGAAGAGGAAGGTACCACCCCCAAACTGTTCCCACAGATGTCTTGGTATGCTGATGCATTAAGAGTTTCTTTCACTGGATCTAAGGTAATCCCCCCTCCACCAAACTTTACAATTGGCACAATGCAGTCAGAACAGTACTGTTCCCCTGGCAACCATCAAACCCAGACTCTTCCATTTGATTTCCAGACGGAGAATTAAGATTCGTCACTCGAGGAAACATATCTTCACTGCTCTAGAGTCCAGTGGTGGGGTGCTTTACACCACTGCATCCGACCCTTGGTGATGTAAGGCTTGGATGCAGCCGTGCTGCCGTGGAAACCTGCGCCATTAAGCTCTATACGCACCGTTCTTGAGCTAATCTGAAGGCCATGTGAAGTTTGGAGTTGGTGACCTCTGTGCACTATGTGCCTCAGCATCCACTGACCCCACTCTGTGATTTAGTGTGGCTTCTACTTTGTTCTAATCACACTAACAGTTGACGGTTGAATATTTAGTAGTGTGGAAATTTCACGTCTGGACTTGTTGCGCAGGTTGCATCCTGTCACATTACCACACTGGAATTCACTGAGCTACTGAGAGTGATGCATTCTTTCACACATTTTTGTAGTAGCAGTCTGCATGCCTGGATGTTTGATTTTATACACCTGTGGCCATGAAAGTGATTGGAACACCTGAATTAAAAGATTTGGATGGGAGAGTGAACACTTTTGGCAGTATTTTTTGGCATATAAGTTGAGGTAAATTGCCTGGAATTTATTCCACTGCATCTCTGATAAAACTGGGAAAATGGTTAGGGAATCAGGTGGTGCCAAAACAAAGTGCACACTGAAAGTGATGGAGGAGACGACAAGAGGTAAGTGAACACGAGCTCAGCTGCAGCAGGAGCATGAATAAGTTAGAATGGGAGCGGAAAACTGACTGTACACTTTGTGTGAATGTCTATGTGCGTGTGCACGAAGGTGCTGACAAATGTGTGAGCTTAAAATTGCGCAGAGGTATGTGTATGTGTGTGTTGTGAAGAACAAGTTGCATTCTGGCGGCTGGGCTTTTCAGCTCCACGCTCTGCTGCTAACGACAGCCACGGCGACCTGATGGACAGCTTCTCACCACTTGACACATTTAGACACACACCATCAATAAACATTATGCTCACTTTGCGTAGTTGCATGTCTGTGTGTGTGTGAGCAGGGCAGATGCATACAGATGTCCGAATGCATTTAAGTATGTCCGTGGACACTGTGCGCATGTGCGTCTGCGTGTGACTGAGCACCCGTGGATGATTGACTCTGGTGTTATTCACTGCTCAGCTGTGACCAGCATCCCAACGTCACCAGCCTTTGTGCATCCTTGAGGAGCCGCTCTCTCTCTCTTCATCTGTTATTCTCTCCCTCAGACAGTCATAAAAGGTTAGTCACACAGTCACTAGAATCCATGAAACAAGTCATGCTGCACATTAGATGCAACTTTTTCGTAATGAAACATTGCGCTGTAAAATCAGCTTCCTGTGCAGTTATAGATCATACCCACATTTGTCCCACTACAGTATTTATGCCACCAGGATTCAGAATTCATCATAGTAAAGAAAAAAAAACAACAAGCAGGTAATTTAATTAAACAACAGTATTGTAATGGATATTATTGGATGTAATCACTCTATACTGTATATGAGCACAAGTAATTTAGTCCAGGGGTTTTGAAATAGCTCAGAAAAAGTTTCCAAGGATATTCTCATAACCACGTGGATGTACCTGGTTTCAAATTTGCACATCTTGATAACGTAGAATAAGTCACAAACACAATATGCACAAAAGGCCGTATCTTTGAATTCAGGTGATTTCAATCCATTTGACAGAGGTGTATAAAAACAAGTACCTAACCATACAGCCTGCCTTTATAAACATCTGTGAGAGAATGGGTCGTCCTACTGAGCTAACTGGAACAGAGTGCAGTGCTGTAATAGGATGTGGGACCAGCTCCCAGTTTGGATTCGGGAGACAGACACCCTCTCTACTTTTACTTTTTCATAACGCTTATAGTTGAATCAGGTGACTGAATCCTCTCTTAGTTACAGTAGAATATGCCTAGGCTGCTGGGCGCTTGCCATGATGCACTGAGTGTTTCTTCTTCACTCAGTCATGTTTATCTCATTTCATCTCTGGCTCTCTTCCACAGAGTGTCTTTGTCCTGTCTTCCTCCCCTCACCCCAACCAGTCGTGTTAGAAAGCTGTCCCTCTCTGAGCCTGGTTCTACTGGAAACCTCTTCCTCTTTAAAGGGAGTTTTGCCTTCCCACTGTTGCCTAGGACTTGCTCAAAGGGGATTGTTTAATTGTTGGTGTTTTCTCTGTACTATTGTAGGGTCTTTACCTTTTAACATAAAGCACTTGGAGACAACTGCTGTTATGATTTGGTGCTAGATCTATAAAACTGAATTGAATCACGCTGAAATTGAATTCATGTCTTGCTCTTTCAGTATTTTTTCTGGCCCCTGGTGTCATCCATATGTATATTTAAAAATATTTATTTTGAAGGTGAGCTGTCTCACCTTCAAAATAAAAATTGCTGTAGTAAGGCACGCATTTTCCACTGAAGGGAAATGTTCTTTGTTTCTGGTTCGAACTTTCACCACACCTCGGGAATTCGTTGGTGATTGTTTGCGGACAACTTACTATTCTTCATATAAAACTAAAGGTGATTGCAGCAATCTGCTGGTAACCAAACAAATCACAAGGAGGGTTTTGGTACAGCATCCTCATTGTGAAGGATTTCACCTGTCAACAGCCAGCAACCTCAAGGAACCGCTTAGGAAACGGTCAAGGAATACACATCGCTGACAGAGGGTCGTTGACCAGTCTCTAGACTTTAGTTGACAATAATTCTGATCATGTCCTGAGATCTGTATTCAGTTACAACATCTAGACTGATTTGTCAGCTTACTATATTTTCTTTTTATGCTTTTTACAAGTACAAAGTACAGAAAATATATAGTAATTCACAGGAATTTTAGCAAAAACAACCGCAGTTATGTTGTGGAGATTATTTTTGGCATATGTGGATTCTTCTGCTTTCCAATCCCTTTAATCATCCTGCAACTTCTGAGACGTTTGGCAACCTTTTCTGGGCGTCCCCGCAGGTTTGATACGAGCACTGGCGTATACCCTAGCATGATAATGATGCAGCTGCAGACTTGCATGAGCAGATTTGTTTGCATTTGGTGTTGCTGCGTACAATTTCTGTGCACATGCATGCAGATGTGCATGTTCTCCACTGACATTTCAGCAAGGAAACATTTTGGAGAGTCGTATTGCGATCATTCTAAAAGTGACTTTACCGGAAGGTCAGAATCTAATCTCATTTTGCTTTTTTTTTTTTTGACTGTGTGCATGGGTGCTTGCCAAAAGCATGCCTCCAAAAGTAGCTACAGTACTTTATCATTCCTCCCATTAACCTACCATTCACCTTTGCAAACAGTACTTATATCTTCAGAAATCCTGTGTGCAAAACACAGCAAAATAAGTTGGAAATCCACTTTGGCACGTAGAAGATAGGGGACTATCTCGCACAGAAAAATGACGAGTGGTTTTAATCTAAAAAGCCTATTTCCTGTATTTATAAAATGTATTCTTAAGTAAAAACGAAGTTGAGACTGAGGGTCTTACCGGACCGAGACATGTCACAGTGTTTCCATCCATCTTCTCACATTGGCTATCGCACGCCAGGCACACGGATCCATTGGCAAATTCACGCTCTTCCCTGATAAATAAGAAAAATGAAAATAGGAATGCATGTATTATAGATTTGACAGCACAGTGAAATATTGATTAAGAGCATGCCGCAAGTGCACATAAGTACGAGCTGTACATTGAGGCCTTTTTCAACAAAATCAAGTGTGATACAACAACGGGTTTATCTGGGTCATCTCCAAGATGCAGTGCCCTCTGCTGAAGGGGCATGCAGGGCAGCGAGCTACCTAAAACTATTTGACCAGGTTAACGGCTTAGTATGGTCAATATGCTTACAGAGAAAGTCCATGAATAATGAACGTCTTTTTAAATCATAGGCAAACATGAGGAGATGTGTGGAAGGTGGAGGAAGCAGGAGTAGAGATGGTGGGAGGGAAGGAGGAACGGGAAAGATGGTAGGAGAGGCCACGGAGAGGGCATTTAGAGAGGGAGTTTGCTTTTGATAGGACCAGAGTGAAGAGACAGAGGGAGTGTGTGATAAAAGAAAAAGAAAAAAAAGCCAAACACATTTTCTTTTCATCCCGTTATCAAAGAATCACTGCGGTTCCTGCAACGTCTAAAACGCTTCAGTCAGCCGGTTAATGTGTACTTTATGTTGGTTTTGTTTTTTCGCTTCTGAAGGGAAAGAAAGTAAACAATAGAGCTCGATATTGGGTTTATACACTGCAATTACCCTGGCAGGAGCTCCACATAGCCCCAGGCCTTACTGTTAAATCCTTATATGTGTATATTAGTGTGTTTCTGTGCGTGTTTGTGTGTGTGTGTATCTGTGTGTGTGCACTCGCATACTCTCAATCTAAAAATTCCTGTCTTGTTTGTGTCCGAATCAGCGCATTATCTTCACTTTTGAAGTGAAGCGTCTCGGGCGGGCGGAGGCTGGCTGCTGTCAATAACAACTGCTGCCGATCAAAACCACTTTTCACATCAGAGGGATCGATCAGCCGATGCAGAGGACAGACGCTCTCAGAGGAGGATTCGCCCAGTTACAAACAAACCTCTTTCTCACAGCAGCGGGATAATGAAAGGGACTGTATGTGTGCGCGCGTGCACGCGCATGTTTTTTGTTCATATTTGCATGTGATGCTATTGGGGTGGAATAAAGAGTCCACAGATTCCTCCTTGTGAGCTGTTTTTATAAGATGTGGCACTGAGAATTTTGGATCTCCTGCGGGTATGTGGGTTTTTATGCATTTTCATGTGGGTAATATTAGATGAAAACCTTTTAGACTCGGTAGTTTTAAAAGCAACAAAAAAAACCCAAGAAACATCCTGACACTCTAGTGTTCAGCTCACATTAAAAGGCAATAAAAATAAAGATAAAATCCCAGATTTCCCTTTGCTGAGCCTTTATGTCAGGGTAGTTTTTCTTTAAATGGTCCTATTGATTCTTTATGATCACAGCAGTTTGTCTGACACATCCAAAAAGCAGAGTGTGTAGGCTACAGATGGTCCTTTTATTAATAATGTTTTCAGTGGGAAACTCCCATAGCTCTCTTTGCATTTCTCCCCCAGCTTTTTTTCCCTTGTTCCAAAATAAATTAGATTCCTCTCTCTGAGGCACTATGCAGGGGAATCCTTTAGGGGAAAAAAAGGCCCAGGCAGTGGAGAGATATCTCTTTTCTTGGTTGAGGTGGAAGAAAAGATACATGGAGCAGAATGGGTGAGAGACAAAGACCTCTGCAGTCATGCTCTCTGGGGTCATTTCCATTCCTTCAAAGCCGTTCCTCCTGATTGGCCTCCTTCACAGCTGGTAGTGCGCGCCAAGGCCCCACTGGGGGGATGACCTGATGGGGGATTAGTCCTGTTTTGGTGGAATTTAAGCAGGGCTGTGGCCACTGTTCAGAAATCCAAACATCCAAATAGTCACAGCACGGTCAACCCACCAAAGCAACTTTTTTTTTAAAAAATTAAACCCATCCAGCTCTTCCCTCACTCGCTCCCTCCCTCCCTCCTCCCCCGACCCCAGTGGGATTGATTCAGTCCTCCCTGCTCACCCCCAAACTCCTTTGCTCTCCCTTTGTTTTATTCAACAGACGTATAAACTGAAGGGAATTAGTGCCTCTTCTCATTAACAATGGAAACACAGAAGAAGAACGAGCTGAAGAATCTTAAGGTTTAAAATCCCCATCCCGAG